AGCGGGCCGAGGACGGATTCTTGTGGTAAACCACTGGAGACGCACACGCTTGCAGAGTGAGTGTCGGCGGCTCTTACCTTGATTGCGCTGTCGTGTAACTAGTCTTCTAACCAGGTGAGTAAGGAACCGTTGATAGCGTAAGCAGCAAGCTTTAGGAGGCGAAAGAAGTGATTGACCCTGTCGAATGCCTTAGAAAAGTCCAACTAAATAACGTCTATGGGGACTCCTTCCTCAGCCGCCCTGGTCCATGAGTCCCGAATAATAAGCAAATTGGTGAGGCAAGATTGTCTGCGTCTGGAACCATATTGGGTGTTAGAAACTATTTGTAGACTTTCAAGGTATCGTGTCAGTTCATCTTCGATTACCGATTCCATCACTTTTGATAAAACAGGAAGGAGAGTATTTGGTCGGTAGTTGGCAGGATCCGATCGCTTACCTCCTCCGTACATTGGAGTGATAATTTTATTTTTCCACTCAGATGGGAGTGGATGGGGGCTAAGCATCCCTGCATTGTTCATTATTAGCGCGTAAGGAAACACCACGCATTTGGAATATTCCACACAGTGCCTGCAAGGCCAGCTACAACATTAACCAACATCACCCAAACACGACTACATGTAGACCCCGCTGAGTATAGGTTATAACATGAGGTTGACGAACACACCTGGATAGACAGTCGAGTCTAGGTCAGTTCCCTTGCGGAGTTGCGTATGACGACGGTGAGCACGCGGATGAACAATCTCGTGTTGGTGTTCCAATCATCCAGTTCTGTGTCGTGCTTCATGATGCTGTCCGAGTGTCCGTTTTATGAATGGGTGAGGGATAAAATACTCTCTCAACCACCCTTGCTTGTCGCGTGCTTGGCTGCGACATGTCCTAATGAGTAGAGTTCACAGGTTTTGACCCCTGCGTGTGAAGGACGCGGTGCGTTGAGTGGGCACAACTCTAATGTCAGATGGAAAGTACCACCCCCCGAAAAACACGAAGGTTTCAAACACGGACCTAACATGCTGAACCCCACGATGCCGCAGGTGGATCTGAGTACTGGTGCAGTCGTGTGATAAACTATTGGCTCAGTTGTAATTGACATTCACGCATTTGCCCGTGTGCATAGACTTGGATGCAATTTGAAGCCCTTATGAACTAAAGTGAGTATTCTTACGGAAGAAAACAATTTCCGTAAAGAGGAATTTCTTTCTGTTATGGATGCAGTAGACTCGGAAACCGCATAGAACTAGGCATGGGGATAGGAGCCAATGTATCTAAAAACCAATCCGCAATTTTTCGGAAAGTACGCCCATCGTATAACAATTATCGGGAACAAATGAGCCTGACGTACTCAGGGTGGTGATTTTGCCCTACTTCTCCCGTGGTGTAACCACACCTTGAGCCAAGCGCTGTAAAGGAGAGTGTAGCATCTATTTGAGGTAGCAGTCTGCGGGACACACATGTGGGATGATTAGATAGAGCCAGTAGAAACCCTCAAAGCACTTGCACATGCAATAGTCAGATCTTACGCGGTACACGGGACAATGGCTGGACACAAGTCAATCACAAAAATTAGTATATATCATGCCCGCATTAGATCGTCAATCCCACCACCAAAAATGTGGTAACATCCTACTGTTCTGAAAACGTCATTTATTCTTATTATTTTTAATCTAGTGAGTAAAACCATAAGCACTAGAAATTTGTGGCTAAGCATTCCACTTTAGATGCTAAACTTATAGACTAGCCTTTAAGCTTATCATCACTCAGTTTCCTCCCACTGCACCGTCGGGCAACACTAAGAGGTGCAGAATCTTTGAAAATACCACCAGTGAGATGACAAACACTATCATAAACTGACATTACCTAGTTTGGATAACGGCTGTCGCCCGTCCGAGAAAGCTGCCTTCCAGACCGACATTTGCAGCAAATCGAAGCGAACACTTGTGAATTCCTATACTGCTGTTAGTTACAAAGCTACTTGTATCCGACATTGATGTCGCAAATGTTGGCTGCTATAACGTTTGCCAAAGACTCTGCTAGAGTTGGCGGCGTGAACTCTCGCACATATTTCTCCACGAAAAGAGTCACACAGTAGTTGAAGGTTTAAGCACCATGCATCCATAATTATGCGTAAGCTAGGAAATAAGTTGCTAGCGACAGGGCAGTGGATAATAGTTTGGCAAACGGTCATGTAGTTTGTGCATATAATTTTAGCTCTGATGCGCAGTCAATCAAACGGTAAAATCGAGGCTTAACTCGAAAGTACAGTCATGCCACAACATGCCAGGAATGCTTCTCTTACGTTTGTTTTCGTTGAAATAAAATTTAAAAAGTGGATTAATTTGGCATGTGCTTATTACTTGAAGGAGTGGAAGTTGACTTCGTGTTCCGTAGGATAGCCAGTTAAAATATCTCGCCTTGGAAAGAACTGCTCATTGAATCGGCTGGTGTGTTGGCTTTAAAACTTTATCCAACTTTGTCACAACCCAAGGTGGTCTTTCGCAGTGTTGTTAAGTGATCACGATAACAACTCCTCATTGCCTTAATGTAGTAAAAACTTGAAAGGATATTAATTTCGGGGGCAGTTAATTTCCTGTTTCAATACCTGTCAAGCATAATCAATTTTCTCTCCATAGCAGTACAGAAGATTGCACATGAGTGAAAAAGCACCAGCTGCGGTTAGCAGCTGCACTTCAGGAGTACGTTGTTATCACGTATGCTGATAGTGCAGGATGTCGACCCGTGCAGATGCACAAATGAAAACGCTTCCATTCTGGAATTCCAAAAGTGTAAAGCCGGGAGACATGCAAAGGATATACAATCGTATTTCACAGCCCGGTCATATTAAAACTGCTACCAATTCACTCCGAAGTTTTAACCCTCATGATAATACTATAGGGACATATCAGAGTCCGTGGACTGCTAATACAGCGTGGATTGAGATGACTCGAACAAATGGAACTTGTGTTTTATCCTTGCCCGTAATGTATCGCTTAAGCGGGTTTGGCTGATTGTCAATGCAATACATACTTGCAGGGTTTTCTGGGTCTTCACCCACTTGTAATTAATGCTCTTTGCTCTAATCTCGCCGACAACTGCCTGCATTTGCTAAAACCAAGTGTGAAAGTACCAGACAGGTAGACACCCAGCAGCCAACGCCGACCTACCGACGTGGGGCAAATATCCAACATGGAATAACCCGACGTCAATCTTTCCACCGTTGTCCAACAGGATTAAAATGCCATGTATTTCGCAACTCTAGTTGCTAAACCGACATCAGCCTGAGGCTTACATTATCACCATACTTCTAATGAAAATGTGTTGAATCTTCCTTTTTTGGCCCTAACTGTCTTTGACCCTGAGTATATCAGGCGAGGGCTACGTCAAAACAAATTTGTAGATGGAATGAAATAGAGAAAGTAGTACAATGTGAGTTGGTCTAGTTAGAAGTGTTTTGCTAAAAATCCAAACGCGTTTCCCTAATGACAAAGCATACTTGAAATTAGAATGGTTAATAGGATTAAAGATGAACTGACGTAAAATTTTATCCTACTGTCTAAAGCAACTGGGTTTCTTATTCCCTGTACTTCCTTCAGTCAGCCTGATATGCCATTAGACTATTGGCATATGATATACCGCTCACACGCCTACGAGGAACAGGGAATGAGGAACTAGGTCATTGCACTCAGGAAGGAGTGGCAATACTAATTAACTGAGGATAATCCAAAACCTCGAAGACACCCGCTGTGGTCCATCTACGCAACCTCTCTGTTCTCATAGTGTTTGAGTAATTTAACAGTTTGTAAACGAAACCTGGCATTCTTGTAATATTGGACAACAAAAACAGTGTATCTTAGCCGATCTGATTCATTTGAAACATGGATAGAGGCAGCGGTATGATCGCCATTTGGAAAAGAAACGCAAGATTATATCTTACTTCGCGACGTGTATTTTCCTTAAGGCGGTGTTTTGCTTTCCATCTGCCAAATGTAGATCTGCGTCTCCCAACACTTAAGGGAAAACTAAGATATGTGTCGGAGCACCAAATGAAAATGTATGGCAGCGTTCAACATATCCGTAGCCCTTTGCCATGTTTTATTGTTATTTCTACATAACAGAATTAGACTTTGTCAGAACAAGTGTAGATAGTCCATCTACGGATGAAGTAACCTTAGCACTAGTTCCAAATTTAATGCCAACTACCAGAGAAGGCTTTTGTTATTTTTTCGAGCTGAGTTTAGTAATCAATTTTCCTCATCCATAACACTGACTAAAGGATCAACTAGTAATCCGCCATGTGTTGTGCTTATTTGCGACAGTTAGAGTCCACAGCAAAACTGTCTACCGGGTTTACGAATTTTGTATTAAATTATTTGGGAGAACAATTCCGGTAAGCTCTAGCCGGTAGTCGCTGAAGGCCTCCTTGGACTATAGACTGAAGTCATTTGTTTGCTCAACTTCCATCGCTGTAATATATGGTAACCAACTGTACTTCAGCAGTAAAGAAATATCGTAACTCAGGGACACAACGGAGTTTAATGGTAATGTCAATCATCGATGGTAAGCACAGAAAACCCTGATTTTTTTCCTTACGGCCGGGTTCTATCTAAGGAATAATTTCGATCTAATTCAGTAGAAGTTGAGGAATTTCAAACGACCCTCTAACCATCCCTACAGGCCGCAGCATAACAAAGCTACTGGACATTTTGTAACAGACACCTACTAAATAACGCGTCCCAGCTTTGTTTGATATTACGAAATTGTGGGCAATACCTAACATAAAGCTCGCATACAGCGTTTTGTTTGGGAGTGACTCTGTTCCAACATGAACGTAACCAGGACTAGAAAAAAGAGTGGAGAATACTCTACCAAAACTGGTCACTTAATCACACAAGCGATTATTATGGGGCCGTTACTAAAACTTTATTACGCCTTACACAATGCAGTAATAATGGTCACAATCGAGATGAAAAAGATTGTAAAGATAGTGGTTGGAAACAATTACTCGCCTGGAGCTTCAAAATAACGGCTTCCAGCATTTCTATTCGGTGGACCAAACAGTTTTGTTCTGCGCGCAATTCACAAACTGCTCCGTATGTGTTGGTATGAGTCTACAAAGCGAAGTTGAGGATATACGGCAGATAAAGAGTTTTGGTTGTCTGGACACAGGACAACAATAAGAGTGATGAAATAAAAAATAGCCTGTGCGTTTGTAGTGTGAACAATTCACAGTCCAAGAAATAAAAATGAATACCTTTTGGAAGAAATTTCTTGCTTGGCAGGATTTACACATAACAGTATCGTTAATTAATTATGAAGCATTAATTAACCTCTCACAGGTTGTCATTAATTAAGCTTATTTAATGGAAGCCAATTTCTTATTTAGGAAAACTGTTACAACCCGTGTAGTTTACATATATTTCTAACAGAAAGCCTACATAACAATTAAGTATGAACCAGTCAGTAGCAAGCACGAAGGCATATCAATATTCATAGTTTATTTGTTCACCGAGCTTGGCGGTTTTCTCTCAAACGTTTCACCACCATGCGAGGTGACATCCTCAGTGCAGTGATATGTTGCGCGCAAGCTTACTAAATGAATCCTCCATCGATGATCGACCTACAGGTGACTTTGAACGTGGCAGTGTCGATTTAGGTCCCGTGACCTCTACCCACTTTCCCCAAGGCTAAAGTCGGCTGCCGAATTGTTCTGCCTCAAACCGCGTGACAAAAGGTTCTTTATTTCTTTCTTGTGAGAAGACCGCCAAGCTCGGAGAACAAATGAACAACTGATTCATCAACCCGAGCTACCAGTATTTCGAAGCATAGCAATATTTTTCACCACATGTTTCTCCATTGTTATTGTTTACTCAGGGTCCTTACGAGAAAATTCGACTTGCTGCTAACATTGTGTTCTCGTTCGCTACAATGCTGATCAGAATCTGCGCTGTCGAGCAGCGCGTTTAAAACACTGTCAATCAATCTTGATCTATGTCTCCAGCATAGTGGCACGCAGCGAGTGAGCTGAAGTACAACGGAAACGCAAGCACGGATACAAACAGAATGTGTGCTAGTTGGTTCCGAATTAAACAAGCGTGATAAGCAAGTAATTAGGTACCTAGCTCTGGGTAACCTGACTAATACCATCCGGGTTTCACAAGTAAGCCGTCTACCAGCTAACTGTATTCTGGTTTCGCTTTGAAGTTCTTTCCCAAACCTTGATCCCTATCCGCACTCATACTCTATAGTGTGGTAGCACACAAATTGAGGCGGTACGCAGATTTTGAAAAAGTAAAGTAAAGGAGAAATGAAATACAGGGCTTAATCAGCTTCGCTACTCACTCAAAGACATTGTCCTTTCGAGAGTGACATCAGAGAACCAGATTGTGCTCTACGTAAAACGACTTGCTATGGTAATGCTCACACGAATAAAAACAAATTTACACCTCGTTGTGTTATTAGTACACTAATTCTACTATTCAACAAAAAGCCTTCTTCGCTATCAAAATTGTCAAGGTCTCTAGCGTATAAAATACATTCCTCTGATCGTAAAGATGTATTCCGATGTTACCTGGCATGTCAGGTTAAATTGTTACAAGCTAAGGATTATTTTCATTAAGATCCAGTCTGGATCGTACGGATTATATGTAAAGTTGCTGGATCATGACATGCACAGTAGGAATGTACGTGGCAAATATTCGTAAAACATCACAGCTGCACTCGCCCCTAACTACTGACTGCAGCTTGGCAGTGGGAAATCATGACTTCGCGGAGATCGTCACATGTGATCTAGTGCCCCCAAGCTGCAGAAAGCAGCGAAAGTCACTCCTCAAAGTAGGTGTGTAGTTGTCGCTATAGTGTTGCCCTTGATTGAATTGTCTTAAGGAATGCCCTCACCATGTTCATCGCAAACAGATCCCAGGGAATGCGCCAAGGTGAATATGTAGAAAGTGAACCTTGAGTGATATTCGAACACCAACAGTTAGATAATCCGCCATAAGTTTTGAAATGTCTTGGTAGTTTTATGCGTTTGTTCTACCCAAAATTCCTGTACACATTGTCTTGACTAATCTTCACGCTTCTAACTCAAATGTAATCAGCTGGAATCCTGAAGCACTGTCTGCTACTTTTCGACGAATTTTAGGACCAATAAGTATCCCTTCTTTCGGCTTCATATCAATAATATTCGCAAACACTTGTTTCAGGTATTGGAACGCAAAACCATCAAGTTTGCGGGCTTTGAGGAAGTTTTGAATCGGACAAATATTGATGGGTGGTGTATGGTTTACACACATATCCTCTGTAGCATATTCCGTCCCCTCTGGCCACTTTCCGGTTGTGTAGTCCTGTTGAGTTGCTCTACTGTCCCATACGCACAAGAAAGAGCGCTATGTTGTGAAGCCCCTTTGTGTACCCAATAAAAGTCGCATGACTTTGAAGTCAACACAGGTGTTCCAACAGTACTTATCGTAGTTCAGTGCAGTGAGTAGCTTTTGTATACTTTCGTAAGTCTCCTTCATAGTGGTGGCATGCAGCAGAGGCACAGTTGGGTAAACATTTCCATTGTGGACAAGGATGGTCTTAAGACTACTGTTTGAGGAATCATTGAACAAAGGCCATTCACTGCTAATATGCCTCACGCCAAGCTCCTACGTAAACCTTTCTACGTCGAAACAAAGGGTTTCTCTCAGTTCATAGAAACCGAACCATTTAACACTCCGCTTTCTGTATACAGTATTGTTTACAGGAAGTAAGTACCACTACTGCAGCCGAGTTGGCAACAACTCGGCTCTGTCTTTAGGCAAGACCACGTCACGTGGCAACTCATTCAGCTCTGATTATTCAATGAGATGTGGTTTCACGTTATCAGATTCAAAGTTTTCATAGCTATTAGAATCAGGTGATGCTGGCGGTACTGTATTACTACTAACGATCATTGACATTTTCACTGGAGGTACTGGAATGGGTAAGGTACAATAATGAGGAACAGGTCGAATAGCTGGTGTAAAACCGGAGTAATGAAATCTGTTCTTGTTTGGTTGGAGAATCCAATGACAATAGTTAGGCGGAAGTAGCACTTTGTCGTGTGATCCTTTGGCTCACTCCACACCATGGGAATTACAGAGGGCATCTTACCTTTGCACTTGAGCTACTGAGTCAGACGCAAAAAGCGAGACACAGAAACAACATGTGATGCTCACTTCTTATCCTGATCACCCAGTTTCATGTGGGGTAGACAAACCACAGTAGTGAATAAATGGGTCTACACTAAGATTTTGTAGTAAACTGTCCACATGGGTAACAAAAATGATTTCGATCATTGACACAGCAGCGTCTTTCAGCTATGATCAAGCTATCAATTAAAGTAACAGCCATCAATTGACATTCAGTATTAGGTGGATAATATGACTAAGCTCATTTCTTTCCCACGATTGAAAGGAACCAATCTCCCAATCAGAGGCGAGCATTCAATGCATGGAACTCACTCTTTAGGTTAAATGAGTAACGGAAATTCTATGTAAACCCTGATGTGATTAGAACAGTTGGTTTACATATTTGTACTCAGCTCACCTGTTACAACCAGCAACATCCTATCCCATTTCTTTTAATAAAATTGATGTTGTGCCGTGTTCTTAGTTTTCGTTTGCTTATGGTAGCAAATAGAAGAGCTTCCGAATAATGTGGGTGTTCTGTTCATTCTCAATGATGAGATCATCTGCAAACTGGATACATCCGCTTGTAGACTTCGCAGGCATTTGCGTGGTTCACAGATATTAAATTGGTAGTTAAGTCCGGAATAAAATATTAACTGATTATATATCATAAAGACTGGTCAAAGGCTGAGACAACAGCATGGCTGTAATAACTATGTAATTTCGACAATCGCTCATAAGCTGCACTTATGTGTACGATAGGCGAACATTACGCATGCTTGCCACTTCAACAATATATCGTAACACAACACATATGACCGAACTCATTAATACACTAGATCAGTTAGACGTAGTAAGCAACCTATCTCACAGCAAGTATTGTAGATCATTCTAGTACATTATTCATTGGAACGAAACTCTTTGAGTGCATAAATAATACTCGATGTTATGCAATCAAATTGTTTTGGATTTACCTAGGTACTAAATCACCGTACGCTGCCAATGCTCTGTGCTCATGATTTTCAATCATAACTTTTGTTGTGATGTAGGAAAGGTAGGAAAGGTGTCGTGTGACTAGAAACATCCGCTATTATTTGCAAGGCACACCTTTCAAAGAAATAGAAGGAGAGCTATTTTACCCTCGAGCAGATAAAGAATGTGAAAAGTCGCGCATCATTTTTCATCGAGCTTTTCGGTTTTGTTGCGCCAAGCTCTACTTTTAGCTGATATCATTATTTCAAAAGGTTTGAATGCAGTTGAAGCTAGAGGGATAGAATGATAAAATGAACTATAACTTTCCGTTGTGGAATCATGAAGCGGAGATTCGGCTGTGATTGACAAAACCCCAGTTACGTGCGGTAAACAAACCAGCTATCCAAGTTCGCCAGAAATGATTACTTAGGCTCGGCTACGACTAATATCGTAAAACTCGTTTTTTATACGTACAGTGGGTCGCACACTCCTGTCTGTCATCGGAATGCAACTGAAGTCTTACTGTGAGTGTACCACCTCCAACTAACTTAATCAGAGGCTAAATTGGTAAACTTGTATCCACCCTTCGTTCCGCAAAACAGACGAGAAGCTGGACACATCCTCTGAATGCTGTTGCTTCATTTGGATTTTTAGTAATGCCGGTCTCATTAGGAAAGAGGTAGATCTGAATTGCCCAAAAACTCCTATGGTCCACAGACAGATCACTCAGACAGGATGAAAACAACCATTTACAGTTTCTGCTTATATTCCCGGTTTGACCAGCACGATGTTTGTTCGTCGTATGTTTCAGCCGACGTTGAAAATTTCGTGAAATGGTTACCAGCATTATTATGTTGACAGCTAATTAAAGTAGGAACAGAGTTTTCTGGACGCAACACAGCGTTAATTTTACGGGGAAGACATCATCTATGTACCAATGAACCAATGAATTCACATGAAAGGTTCTCCCTATAAGTTGTCCATTG